GATAATTAGATTAAATATCACCTCTACCACTTAATTAGCTAGGTGATATTGGGCAAGTTGCCTAATTTCAGATAGGTACTCCAAGATAGGGTGTCCGTAACACAGGGGTTTTTAGTATTAAATGAAAATCAGATTGTTAAGCATAGTTCCCGGCACACATGTACTCAATAAATGTTAATAATCTCTATGGCAAAATCTTCAATTTCATTTAGTAGTTATGAAACACAAACATATTGGTAATATGTAGAACCATTGACCTGTTCCTGAAGATGAGTCTTTAGAGACTGTCTACTTTATGCCCAGAAAAGTGACAATAACATTAACTTTTGTAATAAAAATCAAAGCCTCTACTTAGTTTTAAATGTGTGCTACAGGACAAATCATAGTACAAAGCCCTGTGACATTTGCACAGAACTATTCACACTTCCCTTTCTTAGTATGTGCTGTGCCTTTTCCGGGGAAAATGCCCTTTCCTCTCATTTGTTGGGTAATTATCTATTTATAGTTCAAAATTTGATTAAAACACTTTCCCTATGAAATCATCTTTGACAGCGTCACCAACTATTGTTATTAGTTATAAATCTTCCCTAATAGATTAGAATGTGTTTTGAGGTAGGGAGCAAGTTACAGTAATCCTTCTATTTCTGGGGCTTGGTAACATAATAAGCATTTGAGAAATATATGTTGAATAAATGGCTTAAAAACAGCTTGTGAGAAGCCTTTATATTGCTTTTGTATTTTTCCTAATTTTTTGTTTTAGATTTAAAAAACATTTACTGAATGCCCAACATGTGTTAGGGACTTTTAGCAATGGTGAGTTTATGAATCCACACCGTCCTAATTTCTATGGAGTTACAATAAAGTATAAAGAGTCCTACAATTGTTTTCAGATTTGGCTGAATATAAGAATTCTAAAATCATTAAGGGACAAACTGGATGATACTAACCTGACAAGTCAGAACTTTAGATATAGAGATTAAATGGGTTGGAGGATCTGGGGACTACATGGTAGAACTTGAGGGATATGTTTGTAATGAGAGATAGGTAGGTTAGAGGCAGAAGAACCATTCAGGGAGAGTAAAAGGTTAAGATCACGGACCAGAAGAGAGAGTAAGTGTAGCATATGTACAACAGTGAGGAGGACATTACTACTGGGAGTTGGTGATGCAAAGTCTCATGGACACAGGTTGAAGAGTTCATGTGAAATTGCCATAAAAGATATAGATCACATTAGAAAATATTGTTGTTACTATTCTGTATTTTCCTCTCACATTTTCCCCTAGACTCCATCATGTTTACTTAGTTGTTTTAGCAAATGAAACTGGGTTAAGAGTCTTACTGTGGTTTTCTCTATGATTGGGCAGGAATCACAAGGATTGGGTATGATGAGGACTTATGGTTGTATCAAAAGTGGCTGAGAAGGGCTGGAGGAGGTATGGCTCAAGCAGTAGAGTACCTGCCTAGAATAGGCAACCATGAAGCCCTGAGTTCAAACCCACTGCCATCAAAAATTTTTTTCGAAGAGGCCGTGAAAACCTTTAGGTAGCCTTTGCTCCTTTATTTTAGTGCAGAAAGGAGAAGACACAAACAACCTGACATGAACAGAAATAACATATACAATGAAAAACAAGTGTGTTTCTAGGACATTCTCTGTATGCAGGTCTTTTGAGCTTTTCATTAACAAGGCTCCTGAAAGGCCACAAAATATTGTCTAACACTGGCTGTTCTCCCCAGAGATTTGGGCTCATAGATTTAATATTCCAAATAATAGTACTGCCAGGTGACTCAATTTTAATTTTCACTTCATCAAATGCTTCATTATATTATTGGAGGAGATAGTTGTACTGCAGTGTCAAAGAGTGTGGACTATGGAGCCAGACTATTGTAATTAGAACCTCAAATTTCACTGTTACCTCGAACAAGGTTCTCCACATCTCAGTTTCTGCATTTGTAGGTAGTACCTCTTGATTTTTACACATGTAAAAAACTGAACCTATTTTGAGGCAGGCAGGGAAGTTTGAGCTTTGGAGTTAATTCTAATTAGATAAATTGTTATAAATGGCAAGAAACAATTGCACCACTATTAGCTCATTCCCAACCCAGTAACGAAACTTATTCTTTCTGAATTGGCCATGAGTCATCTCTAGTCTTTGGGCAACTAAGAGTTTTAAGAAGTATCTGATAATTCTTTAACCTGACAGATTAAGAACTCAGGTTGTAAAATAGTGGTTTTTAAAAGAATTCTCAGATGGCTGATCCTTTAAGTGCTATTAAACACAATATTAGTGTGCCTTCCTGTCAAACACATAATCTAAAATCTCAAATTCAATGTCATGAAAACGAAATTTAGTTAACACCTACTAACAAGTATGCTTAACAAATGTTAAGTAAACCAAAGGAAAAAATGGAAAGAAAACCCAGCACATTTCTTGCTAAGTGGAAGGTTATTTTTGTTTTAGGTACACCATTCACTGTCAAAAGTTTGTTTTGCAAAGAAAAGTTCATGTGTACGTTACCAAATTATCAGTACTTCATCTTGAAACCCTCAGAAACAGTCAAGGCAGATGGTGCAGCTGCCTGAATTTTATAAGGGCTACAACATTAGCAATCATTAAAAATGGGGGAGTCTGGTTTCTGGTTCAGAGCCTAGGCACTAAAATACCAGGTATATAGGGCTAACAGGAATCTCTGCAAAAGCCATGGGAAAAAACTCCTTGATTATTTGCTCTACAGAAGAACTTATTGTCACTGTATATACTGGTATATGATTTTTACTGCTGATCCTTCAGTACAGTACCACTGGCAAATATACAAGAGTAGTAAAACAAAAATTACATGGTTAAGAAATATTAGTCTAATTAAGCAAACACATTTCCATTGATATTGATGCAATCCAGGTTACATTGAAAGCTATGTTGGAGCTCTGTTGTAGCATTAATACATGTCACGATGAAAACAGGTAAAGAGCTTCAGGACTATGAGGAAATTAAATTATATGTTATCCTTGGCTAAGAAATCCTACCTGTTGCAATAGTCAACCACAGACTCCCTGGTTGTAAATAAAGCTTCTTCTCCTTTCTTGGCCTTTGCCCACTTTGAATCCAAAAGGCAGTCCACTGCTTTTGAAGCTAAGGAGGAAATTTATTATTTTAAATTTAGTATACATGGGAATTTATGTCTAAATAGTATTAATAAAGTAAATTTCAACATCTGACAACACAAAGTCTAATGCTGGAAATAAATGGCATTCAAAAATATGAATTAAAGATTAATGGAGAAATGTTCTTAACAAAAAATTCAAAATGTTTGTGTTCATCAAATAATCAAGATAAGCAAAGCAAAACTTTCCTTTTCCCCTCAGAGTAATGAAAATTCTCAAGTTTTACTGTAACTCACTGAGGAATAGCTGTGAACAATCTACTTTTGTCACTAAGCAGCAAAATATATTATACTTGAAGAGATTCATATATCTATTTTTTCTAAACTTATAATGAACATCAAAATCATAATAAACTAAAGAAAGTTACTTTTGATAAGGAATTTCTTCTTGATAATGGCAGCTCAAATTTAATTAATGAGATAGGAAAATGCAACCCCTATTCCTAAACTCTGGGGCAATATTGTAGATGACATCAACTTATAATGAGGTTGTGTGGATGATGTGAAGAATTAGAGCTCTTAGTTAGTTCCAAGTACATATACTATCAGAACAAAAGATAGTACTTTTGAACACTGGAAATAAATCTTATTTAAAACTTTCCAACTAATGCAATTAGAAAGCACTTTATCTTTTTATTCCAGACATTTTCAATCTTAAAATAGGACAATAAACTGCTGTATGCCCATTGCCCAGCTTCAAAAATCACACCTGGGAGTCCTTAATATATACACTAATATGATTTTACTGATGTATTCCTACCAATAAAATAATCAACCCGGTGACCCATCATATTGGTGGATTTTGTTGGACAGTTGAATCGAAGATACTTGGCTACAGCCTTCTCTTCTTTAGATGGTTCGCCAACTTCCTGCAATGTAAGAATATTAATTTAGTGTGATCATTTATTTGAGAAATTCATGCACTGAAGAATAATTTACAAATCTGTTCTGTAAATCTTTTCAAGTGAAGTATAGGCCTTCTCTGGAGTAGACTCAGTAACATACACAAAGGACAAAATGAAATCAAATACAAACTGATAGAGCCAAAATCTGCCGGCTTCTTGGCCTCAACTATATGGTATTTGAGCTGTCTGTCCAGTGTAACTACTTTGAACAAGTTTACCATCACTGCTTTTTAACAGACACAAAGCAATACTTTAAAAGATGTTGCCTAAATGTCAAAGTAAGTAGAAACAGGTGCCATAAATAAATGTTATAACAACAACCAAAGATATATGCCCTGATCAATGGACAAGAGACTATGAGCGTTCTCAAATTAACCAAAGGCAGCTATCTCAATGTGATAGTCACAAGAACTACTGAGATGCTGATGAATGTTATTTACTCCCCTCTCTTTCCCCTATGGTTGCAGATACTATATACTGTTCTGGGACACCTTTCCCACTTGGCCACTTTCTCTTCCTCAGTAAGACTCAGGCAAAAAAAGAAAGAAAACAAAAGAAATGCAGAAACCAAGACATTACTATGTCGTTTAAAGATTATTATTGTCATTAATGGAAGTGCACTGACAGAGTAGTTTTGGAAAGGCTGCTTGAATTCTTCCACTTTCCTTCTGTATCTGTTCCCAATTTTTCTCTTATATACTCTGCTACTATCACCTGTAGGTTATTTTTAGCAATAAAAATTAAAACTACTCAACCTGAAGACAATTGTAAAATCCAAATATTTATGTATCTGGATTTTCATTTATAAAAATATGTACCAAAGAAAAACAATCTTAAAAAATTGCAAATGCAAAATTTAAAACTTCAAGTTCACTAACATCTGCAAGATTCCTCATGATTTGATCTGAGGCCTAGCTACAAAATATACTTAACATAATGAAAAGTGAAAATTTCACATTAAAAATTTGTTTCCACACAGCTAGTAAGTGAAAAGTACCAATTTTTTTTTCTTTTTTTTTGTGGTACTGGGGTTTGAACTCAGGTTCTCACACTTGCTAGGCAGGTGCTCTACCACTTGAGCCACTCTACAAGTTCTCTTATTACAAATTTTTAAAACCATGCTAAAATATATTAATATATGTTGATATTTTATGTTAAATGCTAGTATTTAACCGCATCTGTGTAATATACTGCACTTCTAAGGAGCTTCATCTATTAGTAAATATCCTATATATTCGTACAGCTGAAAAAGTAACAACAGTTGAGAATACTACTACAATGGCTTATAGAAACCAACTCTATTTTATAATCATATACATATATGTTTAATTTTTTCCTCACTTGATACATCTGTTGTCAATTTAAATGTTTTTTATCTAATTAACTGTTATTGAATGGGCTTGAATGAAAATTGTGGGAGACAAGTCAGAATAAATGTAAACCATTTAATCAAAGACATACTTCCTAAGTGTTTATCCTATAACCTTTGGGTGCTATAATACCAACACCTGTTAGGCATGATACATATACTTTGTTATGTAACTATCTAAAGCAACAACTGTTCTTTTCCCAAAGGAATGGTAGAAAAAATATTTTATAAGTACTCAAAGTAGGGATGAGGTTATCATGTGGACAGGAACAGCTAGAAAGGAAGGAGCTGGATTATGAAAGATAAACAAGTTTGAATAACTTGAATGAAGAACACTGTGATTGAGAATGAGGGTGAAATTTTTACTCCAATAAAGACCAGTTACAAAGCAGAAGGAATTGAATATGTATAAGTAGAATAAAGAATCTTAAAGGCAGGCTGAGAAGTTCTGACTTTATCCTGTAAATAGCAGAAAGACCATTAGTGACTTTTCAATAGAACAGAACAAAGATTTAAACATGATTTTGGTGTCTGTATATAGGACAAATTGGGAATACCTCCCACATATAGCAGGGAAACTATTTAGAAGACATATTTACAATAAATATGATGTGATACTGGACTAAGAACAGGAAGGAAATGTAGGTATCTGAAACACTTCAAATGCAGAATAGATAGTATTCAACGATAAAGGGTAGGAAATGGTTAGGTAAAAGAAGTCAGATTTCTAAGTTGGCCAATAGAAAGGACAGTCTTTCAATAACCAGAAAAGGTTATTTGGGAGGAAGATGAATCTGGAGAACAATTGTAATTTTAGGCAACATTCATACTAATGCTCAATTAAACCATTTACTGGTCACAGATGAATTACTAATCTGATCAAGGCATCACATGTAAATCTGGTTAAATATCAGAATACATAAAAAACAGAAAGTTGATTCTACATTATAGAATAGGAAATGTGATACCATTATTTTTTGCAAAAACTTTAAATCTTACTTTGACAATTACCTTCAAGTTAACCAACTTTTCCACAACCACATACCCTCCTTAGCAAAGACAGTAATGAGCAACAATGAACAGAAGATGAGCTCAGGAGTCATGGAATTTGAAGAATCTTTTCCAACTAGACACAGAATTACTTGTCCATTAGTACTTTCTTAAAAGTATGGGTAACTTATAATAGTTACCCATATTGTAGACTGTCTTTAATGAAAATGAAATAATTAGTATTGTCTGCTGAAGTTTTGGGATCAGAAAGGCCATTATAGAACAGTACCTGCAAATATATATACAGGAGATCCTGCATAATGTCTTTTTCCATTTTTATAGCGCCCCTGCTGCAGCCTAACGAGGGCATAACTCAGTGTTACCTTCTTATTTATATTTGGGACTGTAGTACTTCCCTTCTTTGTTCCCTCTTAATGTGAATGTAATATTTTCCTAACTTTCCTAGACTTCTAACAAGAGAATAATAGCATCTACAACTAATGAAGTCAAACTAGTCTGTCAACTTTGAAACAAATGAAAGAACTTTTTAGCTCAATAAATGAGTACAACTGTCTTCAAATGAGGATGCTAAGGACCAAAAGTTTAGGTTGGACTGCTTTTCTTTGCTCAAATACTATACTGGCTGCTGCAAATCACAATACAAAATTTTTAAAATTAAAATTTTGGTTAGAACAAATTTATTTAATATTTTACTTAAAAATGTGTCAACACTCCATTACTCTGATGAAATAGAGGCTACAATTTCTATTATTTTAGCCATTACTTTTTTGAGAAAAAAGTATTAGATCCAGACTAAGCCATGGGTTTCAATTTTACAGAAAATTTATCTTTCTGATAAAGAATTAAAAAACTATATACAATAAAAAAAGATGAGTTGATATACTAATTGTTGAACAAAAAAGAAAAAGCCCTAGTTTGTAAGTTGTGAATTTGTACACAAAGATACAAACAAGCAGTATAAAACATTTTTAGATTAACAGAGTAAGATCTGAAAGAGGAAGAGGACCTCAGATAAATCATTTGCTCAAAGTCACACAGTTTTGTATCTTGACTACAGCAGTATCCTTCTGTAATACCTTCAATTCACTTCTACTGTATTCTCTATGTAGTGGTAGGTTTGCCAGGTAACTACAAAGCCCTCCTTGAAGCTTGGGGCACAGGGGTGGGAGTGGGCTCCCAATTTAGCACTGGTTTCGTCGGTTCCTTTTCTTTTCCTCAGAAAAGAAGTCAGACTTAATCTTGATGAATAGCCCTAAACTTTCTCTTTTCTTTCCTTTCCTAAAATTAAGCACCTAAGCCCTGTGATATGTCAGGATTTTACTGCCAGGGAGACAGATAGATGTAACAAAAATAACTGATGGAGGTTATAAAAGTTCTAAAATATAGTAAATTAAATGTCCCCAAACTCAAAACTGGTTATTGTACACATAAGCAGAATACAAGATGGGATGATTCCCTTTAGCAGGGACAAGTCATCTTTATTAAGTCTGTATTAATATAAAGAATTTAGGATTAAAGTATTTCAGAACAACCTTTTTTTTTTAATGAGTAGTGAGGTGGGAACAATATTTAATTGGGAATTAGAAGACTGGTGGAAACCTAGTTTTATTATTTTAATGAGTATTCCTAGGTCAAGTCACATAGCCTCACTGGACCTTGGTTTTTCAGGAATGTAACAGGGTATTGAGTGAGATCAGTAAGTTCTAGGCCCACCATTCTACTTTTATATCAGACTGAATTTGTGAAAAACAAGTCCAAACAAATTCTACCAGATCCTTTTCAATTCTCAAAATTTCATGATACCAGGATTTTAAATCAATGCATAGTAAGCAGCACACTGTTAATCTACAAAGTTACATTTCCTTAAAGATATGCAAAACTGCATTTCTTGAATAACTTAAAAGTCTTTATTTTCAAATGTTTCATTAGTCTCAATTGAAAACCTGTCATAAAACTTCAGGTTTTCAGTCACCAGTAATTTGAGTCCAAGAAAGTAATGTGACAATAATTCCTTTGCTTCAAACTTTGACGTAACACCAGATCTGAAATTATGCTGTACTAGAAAAAGCAAATGAGTTAGTTACTTACGTTTATTTGTTTGTACCAAACAGTTTTCCCCAATGTACAAACTGTAAGGTTACTGAATCTATTTAACATAAAAATCATTTCTAAGCCAGTAGCTCACACCTGTAATACTACTCAGGAGGCAGAAATCAGAAGGACTGTGGTTCCAAGCCAGACCAGGGAAAATAGCTTGTGAGACCCTATCTCAAAAAAACCTGTCACAAAAAAGGGCTGGTGGAGTGGCTCGAGGTGTAGGCCCTGAGTTCAAACCCCAGTACCTCAAAAAACAAAAAAACAAAAATAACTATCCAACACAAATAAGGGCTGGCAGAGTGGTTCAAGTGGTAGAGAGCCTGCCTGGCAAGCATGAGACCCTTAGTCCAAACCCCAGTATCTCAAAAACAAAAAAAACAAAAAAAACAAAAAAAAAACTTTTCTAAACATGAAACATCAAGCAAAATGACAGGAAACTCAGTAAAGCCTTTTGCCTTAAAGGCCTACTACAACAGAATCCTTTCTGTAACAAACTGTGAACATTTGATCTTTTTACTTCAAGTGATGCCAATATAGTAGTTTCTGATCCTTCTGGAGGAAAAAAAAAAGTGAGAAATTCCCTAGGACAGTGTATTTTTGTAAATTTGTTACACTGCATAAAAGGAGCAGTGTAAAATTTCCTACAAATATTTTGCAAAGCCCTACAGAAAACTTTGAGGATGGGAAAATAATTTATTTTCATTTTGCAGTTTGGCAAGTTGATTTTTAACAATCAGATCTTCAAATAAATAGAAAGTAAATAGCCATTCCTCATATTACAATCCAAAGATTTATTTACTGAATAGAGAGCTGTTAACAATTCACTAGCTTATCAAACAGTGTTAAACAAAAACCAAAATAATCCAAACTAAATCCTTTATCCTGGGGGAGGAGGACAAAGAAAAGGCTATGTGCCAGGCACTTTCAATAATTTTAATAACTTTAATGTCATTAACCTCACCTACTGTTCTCAGAGCAACTGTACAGCCCTAAGAGTTTTTCTTTTTTTAAAGTAAACACCTCCTCTTACAGATACAGAAACTGAAGCAAAAAGTAACTTGCTCAAAATTCCTCAGCTGGAGTACTGAGGCCACTACCACTGGAGTCCCTACCTTTCTGTTTAATGAAAGATAAGCAGCTACTCCAAAAGTGAACTGTGTTTTACAGCAATATTAAAGGGCATTTGAAACTGTATTGTGTATGAAGGGGTACAAAATTGTACTGTTAAGTGTAAATAAGGGGCGGCAGTAAGTACAAATATGATTTCAAGATGAATCCTAATAAAATACTGACCCTGCATGTCAAACCAACACTGCCTAGAAAAATTAAGACTCGTATAATTAAAACTTCTGATCTTAACCCCAGTTTTAAGACCTGCCTGAACGTGGAATTTGCTTCTTTCTAATTCCCTTCTGTACCCTGTTCACAATTGTTTTGTTACTTTGCCAAACTGCAAATTTACTGATCACTGGTATCTCTCTCACAGTAGTTAAAAGTTTCCAACTTTAACGTGGAGAGCTCAAAAACACATAAACATTTAAAAAAAAAAATGGAGAGACGGAAGTAGAAAAAACCCATTCCAAGGGAGGAACAGAAGGGCACCGCTGGGTGCAACAACGTGTGACTCGTATGTGTGACAACGCACTACATGCTACTAACTTGGGCCGCCTGGGGTTTCTCGGCTCATGACCTGATGAGGCCACTGATAAACATGCGGAGGGAAAAAACCTTTCGCATACTTCATCCTCTGGGCAGCGAACATGACAACCGGGAGAAAACCGCCGGGAAGAAATGCACGAGTGACAGTCATGCGGACGAGGGAGGGGTGTGGTGCGGGTTGCGAGGGTGACACTCGGCGTGCGAAAGGTTTCTGGGCGCCACGGGCTTCCTGCAGCACCAGAGGGCTTGTGTTTGTTTACACCGTGTCGCCTGGAAGGGAGCCGGCGAGCTCTAAGTTGGACGCTCGTTAAAAACGCGAAGGGGAAAAAGGAAGGCGACCGCCACGGAACATCAGATGGACCCGAGACCGCAGCCTGGGCCCCGGGGCAGCTGACCACATCGCGATCCCACCCCTGCTGCCATCAGAGCGCACAAAGAACGGGCGGCTCGGGGTCCGTCCTCCGCCTCCTCCTACCCCGATGGCGGTGGCCCGGATTTCGGGACAGCTAAGGCGGAGGGACGGCTGACAAGAGCGAGGGTCCACGTCCAACCCCCCAGCGCAGGCCCCGGCGGGGTTCCGAGCGCCGCGCCTCCTTCCTTCCCCGGCTGCCCCACCAACACCTCCGCCGTCGCCAACACCGCCCCCCCTCAGGCCCCTCACGGCGCCGCAGCCCGCGGCCTCGCTGCAGAACCCCAGCCCGCCTCCCCCCCGGCTCCCTCTCTCAGCGGGCCTTCCCCGCTTCTCCCACTTTCCAGCGTGCTGAAGCCCCCTACCCCGGGGCTCGACTTCGCTACCTGGATCCGCTTCTTGTGTCGCCTGCGTTCCGCCATGTTGGCCGCTCCGCCCGGTTCCTCCTGACGTGGAGCGAGGAGGGGGCGGCGGAAACCTCGCGAGAGCGCGTCTCGCGGCCCGTTATGTAACCAGCCCGCGGCGCTGGCCCTGCGGTGCTGGCCCTTCGCGCTTCCGCGCGCCCCGGGCGCTGCGGCAGCTGGAGAATCGCCACGACTCCGAGAAGGCCGAGAAGTGGTTCACGGAGCCGGGCTCTGGGCAGAGCCCACGGTTCGCAAGCCTGACCGAGCATCTGAGTCACCCGGGACGCCGAAATACACACTCCGGCCCCGCCCCGCCCCGCAGAGTCAGTGGGCCGGTTGGGGTGCGGCCGCTCCCGCAGGGGTGACTGAGGCCCGAGGAGTCCGAGAAATCTCCACCTGTGGCAGTTCTGTAACGAACCCCCGAGTCCCTCCTCACCTTATTTCAATTTCATGAAATTCCACCTAAAGGATGTGAAAGCCGGGGCTGGGGGCATGGCTCAAGTGCCAGAGCGCCTTCCTAGGGGCCTGAGTCAAACCCCAGAACCACCAATAATAATAATAGTAATAAGAATATTAGATAGGAGGACCGAGGCAGCTCAGGGGAAGAGCTAAAAACGGACTCATCCAATGCAGAGAGCCAAGTCAATGGTCTTCTCTCAGACAATGTACAATACTCATTTAAAAAACAAAACTTTTTTCATTTCCCAGATGGCGCCTCAAAAGTCACCTTTAGAATCCAGAATTCAGGGAGAATCCAGGAAAGTTGTAAGTAAGATGAAAAGGAGAAGGATTCTGAATAGTTGGGATGAAAGAGACCGCAGCAACTCAAGTCTGGGGAATGAGCGTTAGGATTACTGTTAAGAGTCTCCTAGACCAAAGGGTAGGCGTTTAAATGGCTAATAAGTGCTTAAATACAAATGCCCATGAGTTTGTAGGGATTTTAAAACATTTTTAGTTGTGGAAGATACAGAAAAGTAAGAGGCAGGAAAAAAAAAAGTTCATTTCTAACACTTCAATCTGTTAATAACTTCAGTTTTCATCTAGTATTTATTCCTACTTTGAGTGTGTGTACACATATGTATATTAAATTCACATATTTCCCTTTTCCCCAAACTGAGATCACACAATATAGTGATCACTTAATGTTATGTTGTCAATACATCATTTGAAATTCTTCAAGTTTCCTATATATCTAACCTAATAGCAATTGAATATGTAATTATGGAAAATTGTAGCATCTTTTTATAAAGTAAGAAAGCTAAGCTTTGGATGTTTCTTGACTAAGCTATTCTGCTCTCAGGGAGCTTTTTAGTTTCCTCCCCCTCTGTGATCTGTAATTTGGATGTGTGTGGTCAGAAAGAAAGAAGTAATGATTCTTATCAATTAACCCAAAATATAATGTAGAACGTGAAATGTCTTTATTTCCTCTAAACTTTCTCCCCACCCAAGATGAAGAAGAAATTCAAATGGCCAAAAAACACATGAAAAAATGCTCACCATCCCTAGCAATAAAGGAAATGCAAATTAAAACCACGCTAAGATTCCACCTCACCCCTGTTAGAATAGCCATCATCAGCAACACCACCAACAACAGGTGTTGGCGAGGATGCGGGGAAAAAGGAACCCTCTTACACTGTTGGTGGGAATGTAGACTAGTACAACCACTCTGAAAAAAAATTTGGAGGCTACTTAAAAAGCTGGACATCGATCTACCATTTGATCCAGCAATACCACTCTTGGGGATATACCCAAAAGACTGTTACTCCAGAGGCACCTGCACACCCATGTTTATTGTGGCACTATTCACAATAGCCAAGTTATGGAAACAGCCAAGATGCCCCAGCACTGATGAATGGATTAAGAAAATGTGGTATCTATACCCAATGGAATTTTATGCAGCCATGAAGAAGAACGAAATGTTATCATTTGCTGGTAAATGGATGGAATTGTAGAACATCATTCTGAGTGAGGTTAGCCTGGCTCAAAAAAACAAAAATCGTATGTTCTCCCTCATATGTGGACATTAGAGCAAGGGCAAACACAACAAGGGGATTGGACTATGAGCACATGATAAAAGCGAGAGCACACAAGGGAAGGGTGAGGATAGGTAAGACACCTAAAAAATTAGCTAGCATTTGTTGCCCTTAACGCAGAGAAACTAAAGCAGATACCTTAAAGCAACTGAGGCCAATAGGAAAAGGGGAACAGGTACTAGAGAAAAGGTTAGATCAAAAAGAATTAACCTAGAAGGTAACACCCACGCACAGGAAATCAATGTGAGTCAATGCCCTGTATAGCTATCCTTATCTCAACCAGCAAAAACCCTTGTTCCTTCCTATTATTGCTTATACTCTCTCTACAACAAAATTAGAAATAAGGGCAAAATAGTTTCTACTGGGTATTGAGGAGGGGGAAAGGGAGGGGGCGGAGTGGGTGGTAAGGGAGGGGGTGGGGGAAGGGGGGAGAAATGAACCAAGCCTTGTATGCACATATGAATAATAAAAGAAAAATGAAAAAAAAAAAGATGATGATGAATCTGGTTCATGTTGTTTTATTTGGGAAACACTGGACTGTTTCATAGGACAGCTAATCTGTAGATGAAAATACTATTTCATTTAGTAGATTCTGAATGCTACTAGATGGAAAGTGTTAGGTTAGTACTATGGTGAGGAATGGAAATCCTTTGTGGACAATGGGTCCCTCTCAAGGTGCTGCCTTACCTAATCTTCAGAAGAGCTTTGATTACTGTCCCCATTTTCTCACTGCTGTTCACTGTGTAGACTACAGTAATTTGGTTCCTACCTCCATCCACATCCTTCTTTTCAGCTAACATCTTAAGTAGTTTTTGGCAATATTGATCATTCGCTTCTTGACTTTCTCTCCATCTTTGGCATTTACAGTATACAGTATGCCTTTAGCCCCTCTCATCTTTTTCTAACAGAGGCCAAACCTCTCCTCAAAGACTTCAGCAGGCAACAGTCTAATATCTGTGAAAATCGATACCAATATTTCAGTTGTGATAATTAGTTTCTTATTTTAAAAAAGCATTTCAAGAGTCAATCTAGAAAAAAAATTCAGAGTGCAAGAATGACAGGGCTAGGGCAAAATGTAAATAGCAGAAGATTAAACCCTAAAGATTCATATATAGAAGAGAAGCTGCCTGGATGGAACCTCCTCACCTGTCTATACCTCTTATGAAACACCTTCTGTTGTTTGGCTTTAAAATTGCACTTGTTTTAACCATATCTCTCCTAAGCAGATGTTGGACAGAGGGGAAGCTGCACAGAGGGCTAAGCCCCTGATCTTGCTGCCTTGCCCACCTCCTACCTCTGGGCTTTGCAGGGCCTGCTCACTGGGCTCTGCATGCCAAAATGGCTTTGGAATTACAAGTTGAGCATCCTTAATCCAAAAATCCAGAAATCTAAAATGTTCCAAAATCTGAAACCTTTTGAGCACTAACATGATGATATAAATGAAAAATTCCACACCCGATTTCATGTGATGAGTTGCTGTAAAGACACACACAATACACATTTTCTCTCACATGTAGAAGCTACATGTAAAGAAAAAATGAATATGAGTGTAAATGGGGGAGTCTTTGGGGGGTGGGAACCAATGGGAGGGAGAAAGAGAATGACTGGGAAAGAATATAATCAAAGTACATTGTACATATATATGTATGAACAAGTTACAATGAAGCCGATTTTAAAAATTGCAAGAAAGATAAGAGGAGGGTGGGGGGATGGTAAAAAATAATAAAAAAACCACCCAGGGCTGGTGGCTCATGTCAGTAATCTTAGCTACTTGAGAGGAAGAAGGTTCAAGGCCAACCCAAGAGGAAATAGTTCATGAAACCCCATCTCCAAAAGAACCAGACCAAAATGGACTAGAGGCGTAGCTCAACTAATAGAGCACCTGCTTTGCAAGCTCAAAGCTCTGAATTCAAACCCCAATTCCACCAGAAAAAAAAACTAGCAACAGGGAATAAATATGATCAAAAGTACATTATATGCACGTATGTAAATATCATGGTAAAGCCCCCCATATTGTATAATTAATAAGTACTAATAAAATGTGGAAAAAATGCAGGCACACTTAAAATTATTATATAAAAAAACTTCAGGCTGTGTGCACAAGGAGTATTTGAAACCAATATGCAAATATTCTATTTTTCTTTTCTTTTTTCAAATATTCTATTTTTCAAAAATATCCAAAATTTGAAACATTTATGGCATTTTGGATAAGGGATACTCAACTTGTAGTCACTTCTTCCTTCTGATTTTTGGCTTCTCTTCATGTGCCTAGCTCTCAAATGTGCCTGGTGACCATGCTTCCATACTCAGCTTATTTTCTTTGTTCATTGTGGGAATTTCATTCATGCTTATAGTTTAATTCCTGGGCTGGCGAAGTGGCTCAAGTGGTGGAGCACCTGCCTAGCAAGCATGAGGCCCTGAGTTCAAACCCCAGTGCCACCAAAAACAGAAAAGTCCGTATAGTTTAATTCCAAAATACTATATAAGTGTTTATTTCCAGCTCTCTTCTAAATATCTCCATTAGATACCAACTAAAAATCACCCATTTCCCTAGCAAAACCTTCCCCTTTTTACTACTTATTTATTTGGTGGGACTAGGCTTTGAACTCAGGGCTTTGAACTTGCAAAGCAGGAACTCTAATATTTGACCCATGCCTTCTGTCCATTTTGCTCTGGTTATTTTTGGAGATGGGCTCTTGAGAACTATTTGCCTGGGCTGGCCTCGAACCTCAATCCTCCCACTCTCAGTGGATGAGCCATCAATGTCCCACTACATTAAAAAAAAAAAAAACTCTGATAACTACTTTATTATTCAGTTACTAATGCTAGAAACCTTGGAAATATCCCAAACATCAATCACCAGTCCTATTGATTAGGCAACTCAGATGTTTGGAATTCTTCCCTTCCTCATTTCTATTGCCATTGTCTTCAATAGGTCTTTATTACTTACACAAACAATTACTGCAACAGCCTCCTAATTGTTCTCAGCTCTACCCTCTGT